TCGGCCAATGTTTCTTGGTTTTTTTAAATGCTTTAAATTTATGTTTTTTTAATGTTTTTTTTTTTATGTCCTTAAAAGGCTCCTAAAACTCATTTATTTCAGAAGGTGTTTCCTAGCTAATTCATTATTTTTATTGTTTTATAAAGAATTATTTCTAAATAGGATTTTAGAATCACTAGTCATTGTTTTTAGAATTTAAGACTTATTATTTTCTAACAAATTATTAAGTACGATATGTAAATAGGACTTTAATGATTTATTAAATGATGTTTTTTATAATTTTTTTGAATTGGAATAATAATTTACCAGGATTTTAGAATTTTGCAGAGTCAATGTAATGGGCAGATGAAAATTTGTTTTCCTGGATTGATATTTGTGCAATAAAAATCAATAAATATTATTATAATTATTATTATTGTTTCAAGCACTAGATCTTTGTCAGACTAAATGACAAAGGGCTAACACTCAAAACATCAGCTTTAAAACTCTTGATGGTGGCCAATTTACATTATCACCTCAGTTGATAAATTTTATTCCTTACTCTTTGTCTTTCACCAGCTAATCAGATCTTGTTTCATGGTTTAAGCCTTTGTCAGAGTGAATGATGAAGGCTAAAACTGAAGCATCAGCTCTAGAAACTCTTGACAGTGGCCGCTATACTCCTAGGAACTGATGAAATTATTTTCATTTTTTTTCGAATTCAGGCAGAGGAAGAATACAATGAAGCAAAATCTGTTTATACAAAACTTCATGCAGAATTATATGAAGAATTACCTGCTTTATTTGACAGGTAAAAAAGAAGTCATTTGAGTTATTTTTAATCATCGACAACTTTTGATAAAATTTCTCAATAGAGGTTTGGAATATTCATAGATGTTAGTTATCCTTTTTTTTTTAACCTGATTAACCCTTTCACTTTCAAGATCTCATCAGTAATTCCCCTTACCGTCTGCCATACAGTTCATGTGCTGTTAGTTCAGAGAATTGGGTATTGGATCAACTAATAATCCCTTGACTGATTCTAAGGACTATTCTCATCACTTGCATACTTGATATTGTATTAATTGATATTCCATGGAAAAATTCTGCCCTAGTCAGTCATGTGGGTTAAAAGGTTAACCTGACTATAAAAGTGAAAAATAACTCAGTCATGTGACATTTCTTTTATTTTCAGTCGTATTGGTTTTTATGTGTCCTCTATTCCAAAGTATTTTCACTGCTGAAGGAGTATTCCATAGAGAAGCTGCAAAGGTAATTTTTGCAACTAAAAAGAAAACATGTTGGGAGCAAGTCTTTGTCTTAACACTTTGCTTTGGAGTGTTGGGTTCTGCGAAGGGAAGAACTCAGAATAATTTAAAGGAAACCCTCAGGAAAATACCTAAAACAAAGGTGAACTCAATCTACAAGTGATGCTAAGTCTGGAAATTTTAAGCTAGCTTGAAAAATTTAAATTGGTTAAAAAAAATGAAACCAAAAGAAAAAATGTTAATCATAACAGCCCCTTCATCAATCCAAGTTTCTTTAGCATGAAATAACTCAAGGGATTTTGCCTCTTCTGGAAAGGAATTAGTGGGCATTAGTGTAGATAATGACTTCACTCAAAGATTTTGTGGTTGGTTTCTAAAAATTCACCTGTGACTGTTTACCTCTTGAGTAGAAAAAGGCAAGCTTGCCCAAGAACACAACTCTGTTGTTAATGACCTGGCTATGGCTTAAACCTGAACCAATTTAACCTGAGTAATTTGGTTCTATTAACTGAGTCTCAAAGCTGATGTTTTGAGCATTAGCCCTTAGTCCATAAAGTTCATTATCAACTGAGAAAGTGTTTGTCCATCTTACAAACTAATCATTACATACAATTTCAGACAAAAACTCAGATGAATGATCTAATGGATGGTTTAATTCTGTGACATGGCAACTGGAACATACACTACTAAGAGACCTTATCCCGTGGCTAGGTTTGTAATGTTTTCTTTGTAAACTCCTTTGCTTTTTTAATCCAAGTGTAGAAGAATATTTGAGAGAAAGATGTTTTTGGTCTTATCACAAACATGGGACAAAGAAAAAATTGCGAGTTCCCATGGGGAATCGAACCTCAGACCTTTGGATTCTGCACTGCAATGCTCTACCACTGAGCCGCAGAGACTCGATGGTGAGTGAGGCCCATTACAAAGTTCATACATGACACGCGTCGTGCACACTGTCGGCAATGGATATCAGGATCAGCGATGTCTATAGTGTGGGCCTTGCTAACCTTAGAGTCACTGTGGCTTAGTGGTAGAGCATTGGAGTGTGCAATCCAAAGGTCTGAGGTTCAATTATTTTTTCTTTGTCCCACACTTGTGACAAGACAAAAAACGTCTTTCTCTATTTCTTTATCAAGTTTAAAACTTATCATCTTTCCTATTGTATGAACAAAGAATATTTTCCTTTCTGATGTGAGCTTTTTACTCATTATCCTTATATTCTATGATGAAATCTGTGCACCACCAAACCCTTAATACCAAACTAAGACAGATTTTGTCTTAAAGAGTATAATGATTAATTTTGACTGAATACCTTTTGAATTTTCAAGCGAGAACCAAGTCTCAGACAGTGATGAAATGGACACTCAAACAACTTCATCACATGCAGAGAGTGGGGATGCAGTAGCCTGCATTGACGAAGCTAACCCTGTGGAAACCAGTGATGGTAAGGATAATGTCCAATGTCTAGTTTAACAATGGATCACCTTACAAAATAGGATATTAAATTCATCACTCCGAATAGCTTTCATTGTTAATTATAGAAATGAATACCTCTTGCTTCATTACAGATATTTTATCATTGCTTTCAAAATTCACAAGGAAGAAATAGATCACAGTCAAAACAATGAAAACAAACAAGTTTTGTTTTCTTTCAGATGGAACAGTCAATCAAGCTGAAAAAGCAGTAGATGGAGTTGATGGTATTATTTTAAATTTTTAGTGAACATAATGATCAGTGAATTTTATTCACTCTTGACCCTATTTTGAATGCTATACATTTTTGCAAGCAATTTCTCACAAGCAAGTTCTTCAAAGATGCTTAACTTTTGCTACCAGAAGTAATTAAAGGAATACCAGTAGCTCTGTGTGAGTGATTGTCTCACAGAATTCATACTTAATATGATAGGATTCTTGCCTCAGAAATAACAATTTCTATAGTTAGAGTAACCCTAATTACCTAAAGATATATCCTGAAGGCTTCATCCCAAACAGTTATCTTTAACTCTTTAATTCCTATGAGACAGAATTTCTCCTGACAATATCAACGCAGAATCAAGCAGATAAGTGAGGAGAATAAAGAAGAAATCTCAATTAGGGGACTACAAGTTGATCCAATACCAAATTCTCGAAATTGAAATCATAAGTATTTATGGTAGACAAGAGGAAGAATTACTAATGAGATCCTGTGAGTGAAAGGGTTAAGTTTGCAGTCTACAGTTATCTTGAAAGGACTTTATTTTCCCTCTGTGCTATTAGGTAAATTATTATTAGATTATTAAAATAGTTGTCCACTATTAATTGTAAACTGTCAATTCCTAAATAGTTGCAACAATAAGAAAGGGGCAATGTTACATCTAAATTTGTTTTCTTCAGAAAGTTGAACATCGCATTTTTTTCCTCAGATACAGTGTATGAGTTTTCCTTACACAAATGTCTATTACTTTGGACTTTTCTACCTCCAGAGATGTCTGTTTTAAATACTTACTAAAGGTGCCTGGGGAAGGTAGGGCACCTTAGACAGCTAGACTGTGTTACATGCTGGACTTATACCTGTTTCTAGCTATTTTGTGTACTAAACACTCAAATTAATGTCACTTTTAAAATAAGCTGGCATTCATTTTCCAGCCCTAAACCCCTTCATGCAGTCTGACCATGATGAACAGGATGGGAGTGGGGAGACTGTGACACAAGCAAAGATAATCAACGAAGAAACCCAAGCCAGCTGCCAGACAACTACCCCCACAATCACAGTTGGAAAATGCAGAAAAGAAAGCACCAGAGAAACCGTCTGTGCCATCTTTACCATTAAAAAGGCCTTCACAATCAGAAGCTGAAAGCACAGAGGTCTGTATTGGGACAGTTTAATTACTTGGAAAAAGTTGTCAAGAACAAGGTTAATTAAGAGCAATTTCCATTTGAATATCCAAAACGTGGGAAGTACTTTGTGGTCGGTCCAGAGGACTTCTGCCATTTTCTCAGCCAATCAGATTCAAAATGGACACCAATCACAACTTAGTCACCTGAGACTTCTGCTTTTCATGCTGTTGACTTGTTTTGACCTGGTTGCTTGACAGATTTTACTTTGAATATTTGGGGTATTTGGCCTCCTCAACCAGTTTGCAGATGTCATCATTATTGCTGTGTTGGTAATTTGACAATTTTACTTCAAAAAGGGATCACCCTCAAATGAAGAGAATTCCTGGATTTCTTTACAAGGTAAAAGGAAAAGTTCCTACCTAAGATCAAATGATTAGTGATATTTAGGAAAGTACAGACTGTGTAACAGAACAAAGTAAAATCTTCCAATGCGGTGGCTTCAGCCCTTAACTTACATCTTAGGCACCCTCTTTGCAAAAATAATGTGCCCTTTGTAGGGGTATACAATAAATTATTGAAAATTGCCACTAACAGAAGAAATCTGAGAGAGGAAAACCTTTAAAAGCCCATCTCATGGTTTGGTACCACAGGCTCTATTTACACTTCCAGAATTCCAAGAACTTAACTTCTGCTTTTCCAGCTCAGCCACAGAGATGTCACTCTATGTTTGCACGCCATAAAATTAGGCTGAGTTACTGATTGTAAATTGTTATTGGAATGTCTAGGTTCGAGCTGCGTACAGATATGCTGCTGAAGATGATGATGAGTTGTCATTTGAGAAAGGAGAGATCATAAATGTTGTCGAGTTTGAGGATCCAGAGGAACAGGTGATTATCAACTTTTTTTGTTGGTTTTGTTTCTTATCCTTTATTTACCATCACTTAAGTGTGGAATACTGTTCACACAGACAGACAAAATTTACACTATTTCCATGAAAATGGTGTTTTTTTTTTGTTAATAATTTGAAAGCTCAAGTATGGACCTTTTAACTGAGCATCCAAATAAAGAACATACCAACAGTTTACTACCACCTCATCCCACCCCGTTCTCTGTCAAGCAAATGAGGTGTTCTGTTCTGTAGGATTTGTTGTATGGAATACTCTCATATAGTCACATGTTAAACTTGATCCTGTGTATAAAAACAGTTTATGAAAACAAAACTCAAAATGTTTTTAAACTTATCACCTTTCTATTTATCTATTCAACTAATATGGTGTTTTGTATCTGTTTCCTCCCACAGGATGAGGGCTGGCTCCTTGGTATCCTAGAGCTGAGCGGAATTAAGGGTGTTTTCCCGGCAAATTTCACTAAAAGAATTTAATTGATAATTTACTTCAAGTGAAGAAGGTTCAGTTATGAGTATGATGGTGATAATGTTCTATTCACCAGTCCTGTCATCATTATGTTTAAAAAGCACTGTTTATTAGGGTTGTTAAAAATACAATGATAGAGAAACGAGATGGTGGCTAATATATAAAATTATAAAATAATTCAAATAGTACGTGCGCTCTGATTGGTCATAAAACCATTTTACATGAGCATATGTAAACACGGTTTTCATTCCTCTTTCATAGCTTCATTAGCTTCGCGTCATGGTTTCCTACGCTTATCTTGTGTTCTCCCAACCTCCCGCGTGTTTACATCAGGCTATGTAAACACAGAAACCATTTTACATTCCTTTACTTTAAGATCAGTTTCTAATTCTGAGGCCATTGGTTGTTTGCAAAAGTCTACAGAGGGAAAAATTTTGTTATTACTCCTCACTTCAGTTACCTTGAATTCGCTCCCAAAATTGTAGTTTTGCCACATTACAATATTTCATTGAAGAAACCACAATCATTGTATTTTAACATACTTTAGCTGTTAGCACTGACATTAGACATACACTGTAATTATTGACAGCACTTAGGGATTCAAGAACCATACTTTGAATTTATGAGCTTTTTTTTTTGTTTTTTGTACCATAAATATAAAGTATTTAGATGATCAAAAGGCATTCACCTCTATGGCAACAATCTACTGTGAAAGGGATACAGATCCAAAACTGCTTGTGCAAAATTATCAATAATTTCTTGAATTACAAAATTGCATCATTTTTGTGGCTTTGAGACAAGAGTTAAGGGAAGGAAGGTTTGTTGTAAATGAGAAATGTAATGAGTTTTCTCAAGGAGAGTGTGACTGGGCTGTACATAGCCAAGTAATTGGTACAAATAATTCTACATTTTGAGCTATGTATATGGAAAACCTTTTTGAGTGAAGATGTGAATGCATTGTAATTTAAATCATCTGAGTTACTTGTATGTGTATTATAGTTTTGCATTTAATTATAACCATAAATTGTGATTCACAAATCAGACTCCTGCTTCACAGTTGTCTGATTTTGTTAGTAACTCATATGATTACAGACCAAATTGGACTTGACTCAGTCTTATTACCATGATTATAAATCAAGGATATCAGAGGTATTACTTTTCCTGCTTTCTTATTTTTATTAATGCAAAATAGAACCATGGCAGTGATACCAGAAACCCCAAATGTATCAAGAGACTGTACAGTTATTCATATTTGTACAAGTAATACTGTTAGAATAGTTCATTAATAGTTATTTCGTAGAGACAAGATTATTATGCATTATTTTATTTTGTGTGCCAGTAATGGAAACAAATGCTAAATAAAAGGTCACAGCCAGGAACATTATTGTGTAGTGTGATGAATTTGTCTGTATTTGGTAAAATGTAAAGGAGTATTTTTGAATCACTTACCAGTTGCATACATCTGCAACAAATAGAGTATTCTACAATTGCCACACATTCACAGGTGGATACAACCCATCAAAAGGGATTCAGATATGCTGGGGAATTTGTCATGCCTCATAACCAAAATCACAGCAGGTTTGTGAACAGGTTAATTTTTCTGAGATCTTGGTACGTTTGGGATCTCCACCTTGTTTTGCACTTAAGGCTAAAATTTAGCCTTAATTTATTGAGGTTATTGAGGGGGGAAGGGGAGTTTGGAAGATTGGGGTTAGTTTCTAGCAGGGTGGACGAAGAGGTGTGCTCCCCAAACCTACCAATGCTTACTTCCTCTGCTCCTTTTCATGCCAAGTTAAAAAGTACCACCAAGTTGCAACTTCATGCAGCAAGCTTGCTTCCTCTTTGCCCTGCTCGTTTTGGGCTCTTCAGATCTTGTGCAAATTCCCCAAAAACCAGTCACTCAGATGCCTCCACAGCACACTAACAGATTCAGCTCCAAGCTATGTATCACTTTTTCAGTTCAGCTTTATTCTTCTTATTTTTAATATACAGAATTTTATATGAAAGTCTCATGAATGTATTCAAACTATCTTATAGTAAATGTTTTTAAATATTGGCAACCTTTGTTGTCAGGGTATAATCAAATTAAATAATACTTTCATTAATATACTTTTTAATCATAAGTCCACTCTAACAGTCATACAGTTTGGTCAGGGCAAGCAACTCAAATTTAACTTTAATTTACATTTAGTATCATATGTTCAGTTGAACTCAATTAGTTTTCTTGTTTAAACTATCAAGACGCACTGTTTAACAGAGCCTAGATTTACAGTTTATTTACTTGTAAGAATCAAGGAGGGATTTATCCTCTCTTGTAAGAATCTAAGAGAATAGAATTTTACATTCTATTCAGTGGAATTGAAAACTGTTAATCATAGCTATTTGTAAAGTCTCTTCTAAGTGACAACATTTCTTACTGTAAATTGGTATACACTTGGTAAATTGTGCATGCACATTGACCTTGTAACAAGGAAAATGTTGTTTATGTAAGCCTTTGAAGTTCTGTAAACAATTGAGAAAATTCCCATCTGCAAAATGGGACAAGGCTTTTAGAGCCCAGTTGAATAAGAAAAGTCATTCTGACTAGTCTTGCATTGAAAAAGAGTGATTATGAGGTTTGACTGTACAACTAGTCTTTCTTCAACCAATCAAAAAGCCTGGTTGCATTTCCACTCAATTGACAATCAATTTAAATTAGTCATGACCAAACTCTGTAACAAGATCAGCCTTTTGTTGCACTGATAAATGAAATAAACCCTATCAACAGTTATTGTATAAAGATGTTGAAGGAAAAAAAAATCTATGATAAAAAGATTTAGAAAACAAAACCTATGATATGGCTTGACGCAAGCTGCTACATTGTCATTCTTGTGTAGGATTCTACCTACATCTCTTATTGCTTCACATCTACAAACTGAACATAAAATTCAATATATTTTAAGTAAACTCACAAAAATGCCTATTCAAATAGAATTCTTATTTACAATAATTGGAAGTACACTTTACATATTTGAGCCCTCTCTCTGCCACAAAACTGCATTAAAATTCTTTCTCTTTTGTGAGCAACCAAGTTTAAATATTAAATAGACATTTTCATTACCTTTGTTTCTGTCAGAAATACAGCAACATACATGGGACACTGCAGTCACAAATGCAAAAGGAAACCTCAGTTGATCGTGAATGAATGGTACTCCTACTGTAAAAACTGATTTCATTGGAATGGCTACTCACTATACATGAAGCAAATAATTAATTTGAGTGAACTTCTCTGCTGAGAACCTAACAAAACTATCACTCAATAATAATTCTTTAAACTGTCCTCTGCTAGAGACCCATCTAATGATCAACATGTCAACTATATGAACAGTTGGCCCAACTCCTAGCAAAATAGTCCTTTAGCACAAATCTTTGGTTGCACGACGACTTTTTCAGAAATTAAGGTTTCGAAACATCCATGGCAATGTTGCACTTGTATACCAATACTAGTACAATCTCATACTTGGAAAGCTACCTCAAGGTTGGATTTCCTAGAACTGACTGAGATAACATGACTACATTGTATCCTAGTTGACTGTTATGTTTGAATCTGTTAAAAAATTAATATCTGAATTACATTCATAGGAGCCTATTAAATTCAGAATTCAGTATGTTATAAACATGTAACTTCTAATGACTTCAAATCATTATTTTGTGAACAGCTTATGAGAATAGTAAAGCATATCAGCCACAAGGTTTATCTTGATATGACACCAAATTCCCATATTTAAATTAAAAGGAAATGTAATAAAGTTGGAGGGAAGAATTTCTCAATGGATCTTGGGAGTTAAATGGTTGACATCACTTATCTCAGTATCAATTAGTTATTCGTATGTTCTATTCAATATTTTATGTTCTCCCAGTCTTCCTCTTGAACTCTTCCAATTCTTTCAGATAGGAGAGCGGTGGCCAGCGATGTTCCAGGATGTGCCTTCGATTGTCACCCTTAATGAGATCAAAATCATCACAGGCTTCAAAGTCGGGGTAGTTTGTTGTGATCACATACAAGCACCACCTTGCCAACTGAGGAGCATTATGAGCCTAACAAAGCAAAGGAAATGTGGATTAATCATAGCCACTTACAAATATATGGGTGATGCCAGGGCTCAGCAGTAGACCTGCTGGGCTTTGGATGAAAAGTCTGGGTAACCATGGAGAAAGAGGCAAATTGTTAATAGAAGAAAAAGAGGGAATGTGAGCAAAACTCTATGACAATGTTGACAATGTTCACTTCAACTCCAGACGATGAAAATGAAGTTGTAAAAACTTTAAAACTTATTACTACATGAAGTCTGACATGAGTTGCCAAATCAACCCCTTTGATGACTAAGATTTCTTCTAATTACCTGGATGACCAAAACAGTCACAACTTGGAGTAGTGGTTGATGTGAGCAGCAACTTATTCAATCATTCATTAAAAAATCATCCTTCAATTCATTAATAATCACTTTTCAAAGTTAGATCAAAGGTCACTGACACTATTAAAGACAAAAAAATGTAATTCAAAAGGAAAGCCTACCTGTCCAGTGAGAAGCAAGTTAATGATGTCGTTACACTTCGCAGATGTCATTCGTTTCTTCTTAATCTCCACCCCAATTCTATCTATAATAGCATTTTCACAGACTGAAATAAGCTGCGACAGGCAAAACCTGTCAGCAAGCACCAGAAGTTCCCTGAAGTCACCAACAGACATGTCAGTAGGTAATGTATCAGTGTACAAGTGCACCAGTAGTGCCATGAAACTCTTCCCTGTTGTTACCTTGATGGTCACCTGTTGTAGCAAAAACCACAAATGAATAACTTGGTGTAAAAATTGATGTACTAGTAGTATTTACTTGAATGAACAACCCAGGTGCCTATTAAAAATTTTGGCATCAATGAGGGGTGCTTATTGCAAGGAGGGTGCTTCAACATGGGGGCACCTATTATTCTCCTGTACTTATTTCACAGTAGTTAAAACTTAAAAAGTTATAGAGTGGAAAATAGAAACAGTTTTTCCTTATATCCCTACTATCTAAGAAAGTTAGGGAAGAGGGGGGAGGAGATTATTCAACAGTGGCCCTAGTTTGTAGGCACTTATTTGGGAGAAGGCCCTCATCTAAGGAAGTATGGTCTGCAGAAATAAGTTCACAAAATCTAGTTGGCTACTGTCTTTTTTTCCCCACAAATTGCTAGATTAGGCTTCAAGCAACCATAACATTAAAGAAAGCTGTTTTTTTTGTCATATCACGAACATGGGACAAAGAAAAAATTCTGAGTCCCCATGAGGAATCGAACCTTCTCTGAACCACAGAGACTTAAACCATAATATTGTTTACTTATAAAAGCCCTTATCAAAAGCCCCCAAGTCTTAACCCTTAAACTCCCACAAAGGACTAACATGCAGCTACTTCCTTGTAATATCCATGTCTAATTCAGCAAACAGGTAATGAGAATAATCAAAGTTATTAGTTAGAAGTTGCTATCTTGATCTTACACAAAATTCTTGTAACAAGTTTACAGGGAAATTTGAAGCAGCTAGAGGGGAGAATTATCAATCAGATCTTGGGATTTAAAGTGTTAACTTTAAAGAAGATCATTATATAAGATTAAAATGAAAATATGGGCAAAACATTTCAAATCAGGCATACCTCAAGGCTATCACGTTCACTGAACCCACCACCAAACATGGCTGCCATGACCTCAGACCTTGCCATCAACACAGCTCTGTGAGCATAAAATATGGTATTCTTCACATGAAAAATGACATCAGAAAAGTGTGGCTTGTTGACAAAGTTCTCCTTTACAATTTTGCTTCTTTCCTCATGAAGAATAGCGACCATGCTTGGAATAAGGTAGCTCTCCCCATTTGTTATATTCTCACAGATTTGCCCCAGCCAAGGAATATGCAACCTGTGAGATAGACTCATGACTTTGGTTAACAGTGCCTCATCAGTATCAGAAGAAATGTTTGGTGAACCCGTATAGAGAAACTCTAGAACATGTTGAAAAGCTCTGCCTGAAACACTGTTATTGAAATGTAAGCAATTCTTTGGTCTTCCTGTTTTAGACTTTCTCTCCAAGTTTGGTGAAGGAGACAAGCTTTGGTGATTTGAAACTGAATTGGGAAGGTTTGTAGACAAGTGAAGCATGTCTTTTGCACTGCTCTTTTTTCCGGTGTTTGGCCTGCTTTCCTTGGCAGTAAGACATGAACAGGAATCAGTATTACTAAGCAATCTACTCAGTTCAACTTCTTCACCATTGTTCAAAAAGAAATCGCGGAAGACTGTAGAACCTACACTGAGGATAATTTTATGTGCACCAAGTGGGTGATTGTTTGAATTGAACAGGAGTTTGATATCTGAATTCCCTGATTCATCTCTGTACATCTTCTTCATATCATCAGTGAATGTGGAAGGAAGAACTTTCACTTGTGGCATTGGATCTAGTTTGTGATGAAAAGAAAAGTTGATTATTTCAAAAGCCTAATTAATCAAACAGACAACAGAGCACAAAAAGTGCCTCACAATCTATTTATTTAATTGCATTAATTAGACATGCTTGCCCAGTTCAGCTTTACAGCTGGTTTAAATGGGGTCATGTATAAAAAATAACAAGGCTAGACCACAACAGCAGGAGCTAGATTCCCTTCTCTTTTTGAGATGTGTGTGCCTGAGTCCTTTAACATCCCTTGCAAACCAGTACAGAGAAGTTGCAACTTATGTCGCTCAAAAACAGGTAAACAAGTAAATAAAAAGATGATTTGGCATTGAATGGGGTTAAGGATGTTGGATGCAGTCAATAAAACTATGCACGGAAGCTATTAATACAATCTTCAACATTAAAGTAGAGGGACATTATGACACACTTCTAAAGTGGTGGATAAGGAAACAAGAGTCATGGATGCAGCACTTGATAAATTGAAAAATAATAAACAAAAGAAAAAGCTACATGTCCTTTGTTCAAACGACGAGAATCTTAATCTCAACATTGAGTAAACCATTTCACTCGTATTGTCCATTCAAATGTCAATTCTCAGTCCTGCATATCTTGCAATTTTAGGTCTGAGAATTTGAAGTTACATTGTAAATCCAATAATCTCTCCTGCCTGATATTCTCTTTCTGTTCATCATCTCATTCTCCTTACAATGTATCAATACTGTAAGGAGACATTACTTTTTGGCCTTTTTTTAAGAGTGGAAGGGGTTATAAAATTAATAAAAAAGAGTAATGCTTCTGTTTTTCTACAGACCTGGTGGAGATAACACAGGTGGTTCTGGCCCATGTCGTAAGACTTTTGGTGTCTTTCCCCTCCACTGGAAAACTTTAAAATTCAACTTGATCTTTGGGGGATTTTGGTTCTGAATGGCCAAACCCACTGCTGTATGGATCACATTGTGCACACCGTCTCCCGTGTCTGCACTGCTTTCACAGTAACAGGTACCCAATCTCTCTGCAAGTTCATGCCCCTTTGTAATTGTAATCATGCCATCAGGAGAATTGCTGAGGACAGAAGAAACAAAGTGTGAATAGAGTATACACCAACTCTATCAGACAAGTGTTCTCCTTTACAACCTTTACTTCCTGTAGTACCTTTAATTACTGCCTAAAATTGCTTAGAATCTCTGAAAATTTAACAGGTGAAAGGATTGCCCCACCATTTTGAAAAGTTATTATACCTGTTATGTATAGAACAAGGGAGAAAACTGCTCTGCCTTAAATAATTCACAAAAAAGGGTAATAAAAACTGTATTATTTAATAATCAGCATTCCAGCCTATGACCAGCTGATATTTGTGAAAATGATATCCAGGCTATTCAAATTTAACAAAAACATCAGCAGCTGACTAAGGAATCCTGTTAAAGGACTGTCACAAACACAAATAACCTACTGTGGATAACAGAATGAGTTTTCAAAGCAACTTGAATTGTACTGGGAAAAAAAGCCACTTGAAATTTTGAGCCAGATTTAACTAACTAGAAGAGATAAGAAACATATAGACCTCTTTTAGAAATAGAATGCTAAATGTCAATAGTATGTTACTCAATCAACAAAACATAGGATAACTAGTGTTGCTGCTAAAAGAATAAATTTACATTTTCAATATTTTTAAATGTGAACTAGATTTTTGTTTAAGAAGATTGCAAATTCAAATTGATCACCAACAAAAAATTTTCATGTTATGCAATTAAACTTTTTATAGTCTTTCCTGAGGTTACATTGGCTATGAAAGCCCCAATCTAAGAAGAAGCCAACCAGGTGATAGGAACCTCTTTTTATTCTATTAGGGTGATGACAGTTTTTTTTTTTAGCTTCACGTATAGTCATAACAAACTTTCACATTAGCAAAAACTCACATGTAAACAGAAAGTTAGTGACAATCAAAATTTACCTAAGTACTTATCTCATCTTCTACTGCAATCTCAAATTAAAAAATTTAAATAAATATCCAATTTGCCAAAGTGTGTCTGTCCTTTGTTTAGTACTGTGTGTTAGAAATGTGCTGTTTATTTCAAAGAGCTGTTACATAACCCAAAGTTTTTCGGCCATGTCATAAAATTTAAGTACACACTGCTCAGAAGCCTTTATACACTGATCTCAATTTGAAAACAAAACAACAGTACCAAAACATTGAAACCATAAAACAATGGAATAAATAAACACAATATCCTGCAGGTATGTGATGCAGCTCTTGTGCGGTAGGGTCATCCTTCAACTGAGTAAATACATAAACCTGGTGTCCATTACAAGATCTTTAATTGTATCGAAAATTGGCCAAAAAGTGGTGAGAACTATTTTCATGTCCTTGTTTTGAGAGTGTAGAACATCTAGTGGTTACAAAAATTTCTTTTTTTTTGGTTAGCAATGTAAGTAAAAAAAAAAAAAAAGAAATTCCAATTCCTCCTAATTGAGGTCCTAACTAAGGCCAGCGAGGTTCGCTAGAAAAGCTTCAAGTGAAGATACCTACAGATTTGCATTGCATGATAAAAAGCTTACATGTGTTGCACACTAAAGGAATCCAACACTTTCAGCTGCCATGTTTTCACAATTCTGCTTTCGTATATTTTTCACTAGTTCATAAAATATGGAGATCGAACAATTAATTGCAAACAACAACAGTTGTGGACAGCTGGTGAATGGGAACTTTATAGCCCTTCCAAACAACTTGTCTAAAACAATGAAAAAATTTCCGCTTGTCTTGAACCTACGTAAATCCTACGTCAACATACAGCTAGACAGGAACAATATAGCATAGGAAATTCCCTAAAATGAAAATGAAGACAAATGAAATATCGCCTTAAACTTCGTGTTTGCCCCTCAATAACACGGTCTAAAATGATTATATCGCAAATTTCCCCGCTTAATCTATCAGTTTAACGGAGCTATAATCAGAGATATACCTGAAGATCGAACAAGTCGTTATGCTTCATATATTTCGTAGTTACAATTAATGGTTTCTGTGTCAATAAACGGCGCGGGAGATTTATTGAAGCATATATATACTACGCTATAGACAGCCGAAATATTTCTTTATTAAAATGAGCCTGAAGTAAATTGAACTTATAAACTTATGAGCTCGTGTTTTTTATCTTTAAAAATGAACCTTAGTGAAAAAATAAACGGTTTCCAACGTTTCAACGGAAGGGAGTTTTATGAAACAAAGCGGAATAATTTAATCTCAGCTTCGGGCCAACACTAATGACGTAGCGTGAGTAAAAACACGCTTTTGCCCACTAAATTAACTTGAAACAAAGAAAATGAAAGTATAAAGTCTAGTCTGTAAGAAAATCAGATTCTCATACATGAAAAACCGTAAAAATAATTTCGAGACTAGAAGCGTAATGATTTAAACCTGACATCTGTTGAGCAGAGAAGTTGGGCTTCTTTGTAACAGGCTTTAGAGTGTGGTTGCATGGTTGTTAAATGTACCATAATGCAAAAGCATTATTCAAAAATTACAAATTCTTACCATGTTTTGCGCAAATCTGTTTTGTTTCCAACGACGAGGATTGGAGTGGAGGGCATGTAATGCTTCAATTCAGGCACCCAGACGGTAGAGACGTTTTGGAAAGAGCTAGGATTCGAGATGTCGAAAAACACGAGAAATACATCAGTCTCCTCGTATTCCATGGGTCGAAATTTTAGGTAATCAGCTCCACAAATTGTGTCCCAGAAAGTTAGCACATAGCTTACTCGGTCCACAGTCATGTTCGTGAAGAAAGGATCTTGCACAGAAGGTAAAACCCGTTCCCGTCCTGGAAATAACGGTATATCATCTTCCGAAGGAAAGTTCTCTTTGTACCAACGAATGAGAAAGGAGGTCTTTCCAACTCCGCCGTCCCCTACTACTTTAACTTTCAACCGACGCATACTTTACCCTCTCGTTACAATTTAAGAACAAACAGGCTACTGTTAGAGGAAAAGTACCGCGAAGGACGTTTCCACCACGAAGCCGTATAATGCAAAATACAGGTGAAGAAATCTTTAGAAATGTTCTTTTGAAGAGAGCTACCCATTTCAGATTCAGGCTTCCTCGACCAGTAAGAATTCAGCCAATCAACGACGTTGTTCTATTTCCTACAGTAAACCTTCTGTTCTTCGATAATCACTTCTCAACACGCATAAACAAAAGATCACGAAATAATAGGACGAAATGAAAACAAAAGCCCACGGATATTTAGTCCGTTGCCTCTCCTAATCCCTGAAGCTATCAGGTTCAAAATGTTATTTGAACTATATCATGTCAAGTCATGTAGCAAAAGTGGCGGTAAAACCGTAAATAATTTCGTTTCCAACCATTCGCGTACTCCGAGTGCTTTTTTCCATTAAGTAAGAGCAAAAAAAAATAATGGACCATTGTTTTGTATTATTGGGAAAAATTATCGAAAACAATTTCACAAATTTCATGGAAATGGCTTTTAAAGCGGAAATTCAATTCAGTTCTACTTTTTCCGCAAATGTAAAAGAGCCCATTGATGTTTTCGTATTGTCTGGAGATATACTTCTCTTCACGCACATAAGAGACAACGAAAAAAATAACTTCAAAGGATTATAAACATTCTAGAACTGCTCTTTTTTGCCATCGTTGTCGTTAAACTTATCAACCGACCCTTTGAATTTGTTTAATTCATCCATGTTCCTTGGGGAGAGCCTGAGACCACTGCCAGCTGCTATACTCAATACAGGTGCAAGTGATTTCGCAATACTTGAGTAAAAACTTTTTTTAAAACATCTCTTTAATTCCAACATCACTCTGAAGAGACGCATTTATGAGACTTGATGTAACTTATATGTCGCAACCGTAATAAGTAAAAGAAATCATCACTTTAATTCCAACATGCCTCAAGAGATGCATTTATGAGACGTGGTGTAACTAATATGTCGCAACCGTAAGCAGTAAAAAAATCATTGGTGGGAATGGTTGGGGCGGAACACGAGGTTCACCCATAGGAGGGAGGAAACGAACGGGAACGGGAGGTAAGGGGGGGGGTTCGTTTTAGAACTGTATTCGGATCATGTGTCTCCCGAGAAAAGACGAACAAGTAAGTTCGAAAAGTAAGTTTTAAAAGCAACCACTTTTCTATTACGGCTGAACGTTTCAGTTCTTTAATGTTAATCAGAGCGACAGGATGGGAAAACCCGGAACAGCTGGGGGCCATGGAAACGGATATGAAGACTTTTCTTATTTTTTCATGCAGAGGGGAGGCAAGTGCGACAAATTCAGGACAGCCAGAAGGGAGGGGAGGTTAACAGAAGAACCTGCGTACAAATAGGATTTAGATGTCTGAGTTTTTTGTTCCGTTTTATATTCAGATAAATGCTTTTGATGGGCTCCAGTTGTTGCCAGAAACTTGTAAATTAGGCTTTTTTCAGGTATCTTTAAAAAAACATAAAGCGTGAAAATTCTTCAATAGCATACTGCTGGGAAAATTTTCCACATACCTTTGCAAAGAGGAGGGGGAAAGGTAGCTCCAAAAAGGGTCCACTCCGCAGGTAAAAGGCTTGGAATGTTTTTTTTTTTAATCGTACCAGCTTGTTCTTTGGGGTTATCATTTGTCCTGTTTGCATTTATTCCTCTTGAAAAGTCCTCGATGACAACAACACCTAGATTTTAGCTTCCTCAGGTAAGCAACCTTTCTGATGGCAGTGTGAACGACTTCATAAACTTGGTCTCTTGTTAATGAACTGTTCTCAACATATGACGTATATATGATGCAGTTTAGCTAGTTTCCAGGCTTCTTCACAAGACACTGTGCTCAGTTTGTGTCCTTGTTCTGTCAATTTCCCGTCAATACTGGGATACGCACCAAACGGTTTTTTTTCTAATCATTGTGGAGCAAGTATTTGTACATCTGATCACAATTTCTTATTAAAATAAACAATTACATTTTATATCTATTGCTTTCTAGGAAGTAAAGTCAGGTTTTGCTGAAAATAGAAACCTGGTAAATCCTAGTTTCTTTAAGAGCTGTTGTCCACTTACTTCTGAAGTTGTGTTAAAAGATACTTCAGGCTACATATTGATGCCTTGCGGACCCAGCTACTAGTCCAGAACTGAATGATAAGAGACTGGGTTCGATTTACTTCCTGAGATCCATGTTGTTTCCGGCCAACACGTTTAGTACAAAGTGCATGAAGTGGTGAATTTCTGGAATCTATGTCTGTTTGATTCTATCAAACGAAAAGCGATTTGTAACGTCGAAGTATAACATAAAAACATCAGTGTTTGGGTACAAAAGGGGTCGAATGCGATTATATTCTTCGCCGCTGGAGCTGCCGATGACAAGGAAGTCCACTTGGTAAGTCTTCCCTTCCACTGTCACACTATCAGCAAAGTCGAACACTGGAACTAAATTTTCGAACGGAAATAAACCGGAGTAACAAAGGTGTTTTTCCAACCGCAGAATCTCCGAGGAAGACAATCTTTATAGGTGGTTTTTCGTGCTCCATTGCTGCCAGAATTGCTTCGCTATCAGGAATTTCACTGTTTCACTCGTGACGTCAACTATTGGGTAAGATTGCATGTTGCGTGACAACACTACACCGTTTCAGATTTCACGCACGTTCGACAACAGAACAACTGGAGATAAAAAATCTTTACTCTCTCAAACCCTCTGTTGCAACCAGATGTAGTCCATTGAAGACTTTCGTTTTCCTTTTCAGAGAAGGTAGTTCAAGAGAGCTTAGGGTATATTTTTGATTCCGTCAGCATTCTTACAGCATTACATTTTAAATCGGTTACGGAGTTTTTCTTCTCTTCCAGATCATGGCCACTGAGTGGACTCCTTTGGCTTGTCTGTCATCTTGCATGCAAAGAAATAAAGGTAGGGTTCCCAAACTTTGTACCAGGAGGACAATCTGCCTTTTTTTTGAAGGAAGTGTGGAATTGCAAATTGTTTTGTACTTTTGATTGTTTGATTGATTGCTGACTGAATGATTGATAAGATTCAATTGGTAATTGAAGGATTAACTATGAGATGGACTTAATAATCAATTGATTGATTGATAACAATATTTCAATTTTTTCCAGCCGATAAGGAATTGAAAGTTGCCCTTATTGTAATAAATATGCCATTAGGTGGTATGTTTGACAAGTTCAAGAAATTGTGCAATATTGGTGAGTGACATGTAAACTTTCTGGTGATCAAAAGTTCTATCAATTTCAGTTTGAACATTGAAGTATTTTTAAGAGAGTCAGAGATAAATATTGTGATCAATAACATTACATAAGAACATTAATGAATGAAATTTACTTTTAGCCAAGGCCATTTTAAATTGTTCAATTCCATGATAGCTTGCTGTCGAATTGTTCATCAGACCTCTAAAATTTTTTGATCAAGTTTTTCAGTTGTCATCTTTGGTAATCTTTTCCATCCTTATAACTTGATGCATGCTCTCCAATGTTTTTATTTTTTATTTCTGTATTTGTTAAAGAACTTATATATTTAAAAAATTTTCCTACTTAGTTCAAAGCTTTTTTGATCAATTATTTTTTTATGATGAGGTAGGCTCAAAAGTATATTTATTGTCATTCTGCAGCAAGTGTTAAGAGTTACACTGATGGAGGCAGCAGCCAAGTTTTTAACGTAGTTGGTGAGGAGCAAGAAAAGTGAGTTTACATGTAACTTGTATGAGCCTTAAGGAGACATCTCTGTTATTCTTCACCAGAGACCTAGAAACCAAAACTTAGAAAATCATGAACACTTTGATTTAATTCCTAGAGGTTGATTGTGTACTAAACAATCATATTGGCATTCAACACACACAAGAAAATCTCAAAATCATGAATAGTTACTGTTTATGTTTATTTGTTCTCACACTCAATTGGCTTTTTCCTTGGAACAGAATGACATTCCTAAGGGTTATGGTGTTCACCAGGCTTTCAAGGTGTCACAGTAAGCTAATACTAAATTTGTGCTGCCCTCTGTTATGTGATTTACACTAGATATCTGCCAGACTATATCAGTGGTGATTTTGACTCAGTTGATCCTGACATTTTAAACTTTTACAAGGGAAAGGTAGGATGTGAATCTGCAGTAAACCTTTCTTGTGCTCTTTATTAACTAGGTGAGTTTTATCCTGGCTTATGGCCATGGGCAGACAAAATTAAATGTAAAATCTGCTGATCACTTTTCATTAGCACTCCACTCTTACATTTTTTGCAGGGCGTGGAGATAATCCCTACCCCAGACCAGAATGAAACAGACTTAACCAAGTGTCTTAGAATTTTAATAAGCAACAAAAGCATCAGTGAGGTACAATGTAAACTATTTAATTTGTTTACCTACTTGCTGGCTCCTTTCAGCAGCTTCAGCCCCAAACAACCCACCCTGAGGATTTTTTCACACTGTCTTAAGTATATTGGAATGTGTTTTTTTAGTTTGATCAGATTGTTGTTATGAATGCATTTGGTGGACGTCTTGACCACACCATGGCTAACATAGAAACCATGTTTCACATCACAAAGCTGACAAACAAACCCCTTTATTTGATGTCCGAGGACTCAGTAGCTTGTCTTCTCATGCCGGTAAATACGGGTACCTCGGATTTTAACTTAATTTCTGCCCCTTCCCCTCCCCTTCCCCTTTCCCCCTTTCCTTTCCCCCTTTCCCCCTTTCCCCCACCTCCCTTACTGTAGTGATTGAGTAGCTGTACTTCTTTTCTGGGACCTTGTCTTCCAAATGATTCAAATCAAAGGAGTGGCTAGGGCACGCCCTAGGAGAGACATAAATCCTTCTTTACCTTTCGATGATGCCCACCTTTATTAGCGCTACGACACGAGCGTTTCTTCGACCTTCCCTGTTTACCCGTCTTCATTGGCCTTCAGTAAGAGCCCGAAACAATAAGTATTTTTAAACACAACCACAGCTCTTCACGAGAGGGCACATGACTCTATCGATGATCTCGTTGCTGTCCCAGTAGCATGCGACACGATTGTTTCTTAGCCTGCGGAAAAGTGTGAGTCCCTAGACACGATTGTTTCTCAGCCTCCAGGAAAGTGTGTGAGTCCACTGA